GGTGCTGTGGGATCTCAGTGGGTTCGTGGAGAAGCAGGAGCAGCCAGACTCCGTGGAGAGAGTTCTCACTCCACCTTCGGCAGCCCAGGAGCAGCAGGCTGGCGTCACACGCGGCCCCCAAGAAGACCCTGTGCACAAGGCCCGCACCCTCCCTCTGCACGATCACAGCCGCACAGCACCTCGGCTCTTCAAATGAAGGGCTCGGTGTGCTCTAGCGCTCTTAAGAGGTGAAGCTTTTAAATCCACGGCCCATTAGGCAGACGCAGGCCTGGGTGAAGTCCTGGTGGGTCCGAAAGAGGACTGCTCAGGCTCCACCCAAAGACGCCAAGAAGAGACAGACACACTTAGGAAATGTGTCAGAGATCTCTTTGAGTTCTAACACTCAACCGGCCGCCGATTATGAGGCTTAGAGAGCCCCGTGTGGGGCCGCGGGGCAGGAGCGTCAAGCTGTTTATTAGCACACACTCATACCCACAGCTCCTGATGGTCCAAGCGCTTTACAAAAAGCAACTAATTTGATCCTCAGAATGACTACTCACCCAGGAGTCCCCTTGGCCACACGTTACAGACGAGGAAAGTGAGACCCAGGGAGGTCACAAGGCTTATAGGACCAAGAACCCCCAGGACGTCCCTGGTACTCAGCACTCTAACACAGCCACCCAGGTACCCTTCTCCCTCCTTCCTGAGGCCAGTCTTACTGCATGTCTTGCCGCGGCTCGTCAGTGTTCACACACATCCACCAAGACGGAATCTAAAGGTGCATGTCTATATCTCTTCTCTGAAATCCCTGGGTCTACATGTGTCTTGAAGTTCAGAATACTTGGGATTTTAGGAGTTACCTCAGTGTGTGCATTACTGGACCTCCCAAGAGGGCTCTGAGACAGCACCCCAAATAAAACACAATAAAAAGTGAGTAGAGACTGAAAATGCACATAAAGGCAGAGGCAGCCTCAGAGAGGGAAGTGACCCTGACCTCCGTCCAGTCAAGGAGACACTCCTAACTTCTTAATCCTGCAGTCCTTGATCCTGGGTGTCCAAAATATCCCGTGTTGGCGGGTCCACGCTCCTACTGGAGGCTTCAAGGGAGGACGAGAATGCTGACCCGCTCCAGCTCCCCCAAGCTGTCCTCATCCTTCTGTCTTCCAGCAAACAATGCTGTCAAGTCGTTCCCACCCCGTGTCACTCTTGCCTCTTTTTATTTGTAAGGACACGTGCAGCTACGTGGGGCCTACCTCAATAATCTCCCCGAGCCAGCAGCCTTACCTTGATCACACCTGCAAAGGCTCTCGTTGAAGGTAACATGGATACAGGTTCTGGGGGTCAGAAGGAGGACATGTTTGTGGTGGAGGTATTCTGCTACCTACCACAACGTCCAGATTCCTTCTGCATCCTCGCATCGACTGCAGTGCCAGACACGTAGGAGAGGCACAGTTAATGCCTGATGGGGCTGCATTTATGTTATTTGATGTCTCCAAGTTTCAATTTTTCTCATCTCTAAAAAACTCTTACGTTAACAGAGACAAAAATACCTGTTGGGAGCTATGTATCAAATAATGCCTGTGAAAGTGCTCTGAGTACTATCAGGAGCTCTCAAAAGAAAGGGCCTATCTCATAAACTAGGAGGAAGGAATACTCACATACATTTGTAAAAGATCTAAGAGGTACATTAGGAAAGACTTTTGATGCTAAGAGATTTATATTAATTGAACAAGTCCTTAACTGAAATAGCCAGTTGCTGGAGGAGTAAATCATGTTATTACATGGCCTTGAGGTCATCTAGTTAGGGACAATACATCTTTTTCTTTTTTAGCAGTGCTGGGGACTGAACTCAGGACCTCCCACATACTAGGCAAGTGCTCTACTACTGAGCCTCACGGATAGCCCTCTTCAGCTGGTTGTTGAGACAGGGTCTCACTGAGTTGCCCAGGCTGGCCTCTGTCATCCTCTGGCCTAAGCCTCCCAAGTAGCTGTGGTTATAAATGTGCACCAATGCACCTGGCTAGAGACACTATAAAACACAGGTTTCAAATTTAAAGGGACACCATTGCTAGTTACTCCAGAACAAAAATTTCAAGTAGCCTCTTCCAGGTAAAAAGAATGCCTGGGCACCCCAATGCAGCACAGTGGGTAAGTCTGGGACCCGGAGCCTGCATACAATCTAATCCAATTCTTGCACTTGGAGCTTGGGGACCCAAGACATATCACCATCATTATTCTTTGGTACAAAGGACTGAACCCAGGGGCACATTACCACTGAGCTACACCCCCAGCCCTTTTTATTTTTTCTAAATTTTAAAACAGGGTCTCTCTAGGTTGCCCAGGCTGGCCTTGAACTTGTGAGCCTCCTGCCTCAGTCACTGGGATTACAGGTGTGTGCTAGGGCTTCCGGCTCCCGAGACAGTATGGAAGTGCTCTCTGACTTGATTGTACATCTGTACACTGTGTTGATAGGACCCATCTCACAATGCCAGTGGGAAAATCAGATGTACCACTATACAAGGAGCATTCAGAATTGCACCTGGCCCTAGAGAGAGTCTGATAAACCAGCTGTACATACAAGCTCAAAATTTTCACGAGCTTACAGCAAGAGCTTCCTGTGTTGGCCCCCTAGCCCTCCAGCGGACAAAGGGTTGGCCGAGCTCAGTACCAGAAAATGAAGGTCCAGGACAGGTGACTTTCTCCCCGCCCTCCCACCCCTGGCTGCGCATTCCCACTGAGTACATGGTGGAACAGAGCTTCGGTGCCCGCCTGGGATCCGGCCACGCTTTGTCATGAGACACAGGGAAATCCCTTGTTGTCAGAGCAGGAGACAGGATGCCTGGAAGATTAACTCCTAAAGCAGCAGTCTGTCCAGCAACTGCAGCTCTGTCTGTCTGATAGAGGACGCAATAATGCTTCACGTTTAATTTTTTAAACTTTCGTATACTCAAATCACAGCAAAATACAATGCCAACATCACTGTAAAATGAAAGCTGTATGATCATTCCTGAATATATTTCCTTTTGTCCCATTCTGTCCTAGACAAAACCCCATAAAAAGTTTTGATGGCTCAACAGAAACAGATTACAAGTACAGACGAATCTACTTTGTGTAGAGCTTGGAATAATGATAGTGATTGTGCTTATTATGAAATTAAACCTAGAACAGCTGGGTGTAGTCATGCACACCTGCAATCTCAGAGACTGAGGAGGCTAGAGGAGGAGGATCACAAGTTCAAGGTCAACCTTCGTAGTCTGGTGAGATCCTCAGCAACTTAGTGAGAGCCCTTCTCAAAATTTAAAAATATATAAAAAGATCTGGGACGGTAGCTCAATGGTAAAGCAGCACCCAGAGGTTTAATCCCCAGTACCAAAAAAACAAAACAAAAAAACCAAAACTAGAACGGTTCATCCTTCCTCCTGTAGTATTCATACATGCTAGGCATTTTCCCAAGTGCATTACAGGCATTTCATCTTCAATAATTCTATGAAATAGGCACCATTGTTATTCTCGTTTTGCAGATGAGAAAAGTAAGGCAGACTGGCAAAAATCACTGGCTCAAGATGCACCCACCCAGTAAGTGGTGGGGGGTGGGATTAAACACAGGCAGTCTGGCCCAAGTATACATTTTTAGATACAAACTCAGGTCCACCTCAAATTGGAAAGCAAAGACTTCTCCCTGAATGCCCGGAGCTGCCTGGGACCCTGCTGACCATGCACCTCATCTCTGCCACCGTAGAGCCCTCTGTGTTGAATGCCTGCATCTCCTCCATCTCCCTGACAAACCTCCACTGCTCTGCACCCTTTCAGCCTTTACTGCAGCCCTGGGCTCACTACAGGCACTCAAGGCAAACAGCAAGATTCCAGTCTGGCCACAGTCCAGCTGTTGTTAAACTTTTCCATGATATTTAAATAGCAGTAGCCTCACAAAGGGATTCAAAGCAGATTTTCAGAACAAGCCAAGTTGATTTAAGATGTGATGTGATTAATCAATTTATTTTTTTAGTGCTGGGGATTGAATCCAGGGATGCTTAACATCTCCATTCCTGTTTATTTTTTTGAGACAGGGTCTCATTAAGTTGTTCAGGGCCTTGCTAAATTGCTGAGGTTGGCTTTGAACTTGTGATCCTCCTGCCTCAGCCTCCCAAACTGCTGGGATTACAGACGTGCACCACCACCACCACCACCACCACCACCACCACCACCGGCATGATTTGATTTATAAAATTGTGATCCGCATTTTACCCAAGACTGTTACAGATGCTCCTTGACTTTGGACAGGGACTAGGTCTCAATAGGCCCTAAATTGAAAACATGGTGAGTCAAAAATGCATTTAATCCAGCCAGGTACAGTGGAGCACACCTACAATCTCAGCGACTCAGGAGGCTGAGGAAGGAAGATTGCAAGTTGGAGAACAGCTTCAGCAACTTAGTAAGATCCTCAAAAACTTAGTGAGACACTGTCTCAAAAGAATAAAATATGTATCCATTCACCTCATTCACAGTGGTAGGTAATTTGTGGCTCAGTGGTAGGTAAATCGCCCCTGGGTTCAATCCCTAGTACTAGAGAAAAAAAAGAAAACGCACCTAACTCTCCTAACCTACCAAACACTCTGGCTCAGCAGCACAGCCCTGACAGACTCTCAGTTATGCATCCCCTGCCCCATGCCCCATCATCAGTGTGATCAAGCCACTGGGCTCAGTGGTTGCCACTGTCCAGTGTCCTGAGAAGATGAGACCACATGTTGCTAGCCTCGGAAAGAGATTCAAATTCAAAATCTGATGTACGTTTCCCTTGAAGATGAAAATGCCCAGCGGAACCACCCTAATCAGGGGATGCCTGTGGAGATGACGGCATGCAAAAGCCTTGGGGCATCTTTGTGCATCTTCCTAGAGCAGGTGTTGACTTCCCCCACCCCAGGGTACTAAAGCTTGGAGCCGCCTTGCTGGGAACCTTCGCATCCTCACAACACAACAAACCCGAGACAAGAAGACCCTCGTCCGCCAACACCGGTCCCTACTTGTTGATGTTGCTGCCCTCCTTCAGTCGCTCGCCAGCAGCTCCGGTCTTGGACACTCTTTCGCTGCCCGCCAGGTCTACCAGGCTGACCTTACTGACTTTCTCTCCGGAGTTCTGGCGCCGGGAACAAGAGAGAAACAGCGCGCGTTAGTGCAGAAACCACAGGCTGCGCAGGACCCGGGGCCACTGCGCAGGTACCTGGCGCCCATTCCCCACAGCGAGGTCTCAGGACCTCGGGCAGGTCCCAGAGTCAGCGGAACCAGCATTAAACGTCACAGCCCAAATTTGAATTGCTGGGGAATTGCAGCTGGATAGCTCCCACCCAGCTTCCCAGAATCTAGTGAGAAGCAGGAGACGCTATGTGCCATTAAGGAATTGGGGGACACGAGGATTCCTGCATACCTGGGTCAAATCCCTGCTCTTCCGAGTGTGACCCATCGGCTAAATGTCATGGTTTTCACTTTAACGCCCCTCAAGGACTCTGAGTAGACTGGTCCTTTTTAGAGTAATTCCGGGGTGAATGGATACATATTAGAAACTACATAGTGATGGCCTCGTGTTCTTTAGGGAGATTACGCACAAAATTCAACTTTTAAAAAAAAACGAGGGTATGAAAGGAACCCCAAACTAATTAAATGCTTTAAGAACAGCAGCTTGTTGAGTAAGCAAAAGAGTCAATAAAAAAATTCCCAGCCGCTGAATCCACCTAGATACCCGTCCCACGTGGATACCCGCGCTCACCCCGGACTGCAGGTCGTACAGCGTCTGGGTGATGATGATGTTGAACACGGCGTGGGAGCGGCTGCTCTCCTCGTTCATGTTGGTGGCGGCTACGGTTCGCGACTTATTTCCCTCGGACATCAAGGACTCGATATCCTGGAGGTAAGCACAGGGGACACATCTTGAGCAGAAGCGAGAGCGCAGCCCTGCGCCCGGGGCGTGTCCTCACCAGGGTCCCTCTGGCCTCGCCACACCCATCGTAAAGACCGCTGAGCTCCCACCCCCTCAGAACCTTCTAGTATATTAAACGCTTACCCCCTTCTTCTTTGCCTTTACCAGGGGTCTCCTTCTCCTGTTAGGACCCCCATTTCTCCTTTGAAAGTTCCAAGGAGAGCCCCCATATATGGAGTTCTCCAGATACTGGATAACTGTGCGACTGAGCCCTAAGTCTCCTGCCCTCCGCAGCCTGCTAGCGGCCCACCTCCCGCTTCTCGCTCCCTCCTCCAACCTGAGGGGGCAGGGGGTCCCTGAGTCATCTCTACACCTGTACACCCCTGGAAACCATGAGGTCTTAGCCAGTGTTGGCTGAATGAACCTTACGAAGCAAGCACTTTCCTGATTTTATACACAAAGAAGCTAAAATTCATGGAGGTCAAATAACTTTCCCCACATGTCCTAAGAGGCAGAGCTGGGATGCAAATCAAGAGCTCCTGGCTCTTACAGGATGACAGCCACACTGATGTCACACTGAGCTACGGACATCACCTTAGTGAAGGTGCAGGATGAGTATCTTTACATCAGGGAAGTTCCTGCTCCTTTCAGAATCCTACTGTGTTCAAAGGGAGGACTGAGACCTCTTTCTAACCTGAGAGACACCATTTGTATCTTCATTCAAATACCTAGAGTCAGCTCCCAGATCAATTTCAGTCATACCAAGTCTGAAGTGACAGCAGGTCAGCCACATCCCTCAGATAGTACAAGTACAGGGATTCATTCATTCACTCATTCATTCATTAATTCACTCACTCATTCATTCACTTATTCATTCATCCACTCATTCACTTATTCATCCACTCACTCATTCACCATTCATTCATTCATTCATTCATCTATTCATTCACCATCCATTATCCATCCATTTATTCATTCATTCATTCATTCATTTGCATTCTTCAGCAATAGAGACAGGAGTTTGTTATGAGATTTTCAAAACAATGATTATAGTAATAAGGACAGACTATTGAGTCCAGGCATAAAAGTCAAGAAGCAGGAAAAGGAGAACAGGTCAGTCAATGGAGGAGTGAGTCAGACAAAGGGGCCACAAGTTAAAGGAGACAGAAACCAAGACAGGAAACCCTCCTAAGATGGGGCTGAGTGACACCAAGTACAGCTGAGACTGCTGGGTCTGTCTGGAAGGACCTCCCGAGGAATCAAGGGAGAACTGTTTCCACAGCGTGGTACTAGTGGACCTCAAACTGCTGGGCCTCTGGCCACACTGTGAAACCTTGGGCACGGGGCAGTCTGGTGCTGTGTTCTGGGGCCATGAATGGTATCTCTGTACTGTAAAGGATCGTGTGAAAACACACCCCACATCCCAGTCCCTGATTCACTGCCAGTTTTTGTGGTAACATTTTTAAGAAATGACACTTACCTCAAAACTGGTGACAGCCAGTTGAGATAAACCATCTACATATGGTCCCAATACTTTATGTTCTCGAACTTTGAGAGACTGTCTACTCCTGCAGAAGGGAAAAAGAAGGAATGAAAGAATTTGACTAATCTTGGAAGCTTTTTCTTCCCAAGTACTCAGAACTAAGATTACAATTTCAAAAGACTTTAATGATTAAAAAAAAAAAAAGTATCCTAAAAGCTACTTTATTTGGATTAGTGGAACAGCATTCCGTATGAGGAATGTCTCTTATGCTCTGATTTCTATTTAAAGTAACATTATTTTAAAAATCCTATTTCTAGTCCTAAACTAAACAGCTGGCACATAGAACTCAAGCTACCTTGTTTCAGTAGATGAACTTCAGTTTCACATAAGGGAAAACAAGAACAAAATAAAAACAAAAACAAAAACAAAAAAATATGAAGCAAAGAATGCTCCAGGTCAAATCTAACTACGGCTATTTTGTCAGCTAGCACATCCTCTGAAATGTCTAGAAGTTCTCTAACAAATATTGAACAATGCTAACATATTTTTAACCTCAGTTTATTTTTTCAGGTTGCATTGGATCGCGCTGCTTCTATGCTAGTAATTTTATATAGAAAGTGAGATTATAGTACAGAGATTATAGTCATTGATATTTATCCCATATTTAGACTGGCTCTGCTGGGGAAGATCTGTGGGCTCTTTTGCATCTTTAAATAACAGCTGTGGTTAGGGATCCCTTTGAAGAGCTTATCAACAGATGATTAAGCTTAAAAGCAAAACTGTATCTGTTTTGACTGTATTGTGTATGTCATCTTTTTCATGACACTGGCTATTAATCATCTTTCATATTAAGAGTCAAAGGTTGTAGTTGGGAGCACTGGCATACACTTATAATCCCAGCAACTTGGGAGGCTGAGGCAAGAGGATCATAATTTTGAGCCAGCCTCAGTAAGTTAGCAAGGCCCTAAGCAACCATTTCAGACTGAAAAATGTTAAAAACGCCCAAGAATGTAGAACCCAGCACCTTTGCGTTCAACTCCTGGTACCAAAGGGGAAAAAAAAGTCAATGGTTAGCATCATTTCAAGTGTGAAAAAATGAAATTCAGATTAATGTCTGCTTCCAGGGTCTGGGCATTGCTCCCTAAGCACTTTTCAGTCCTCCCATTCAATCTCACAACATGTACACAGCAGGTTGGCTGTTTGGATTCTGTAGCATGGCAGACAGAAGGTGGCCCTTGAGCGTGCCAGGCAAGCACTCTGCAACTGAGCTACATCCCCAGCCCCCTAGTAGGTTTTACTACACTTAAGGATGAAGAATTCAATGTGACAATGAACAATTCTGATGCATTGTGCAGGGACCGATCATGGTGCCTAGCCTTAGTCACTGTATGCTCACGAGCAGCACCCTGGATCCTCCATACAACCAGAGATTCTACGATGCTGCTATTCAGTAGCACAGAGCTGGGGACTGAACCTAGGGGTACTCTACCACTGAGCTATCCTGAGCCCTTTTTATCATGCAAGTGACCAGGGAAGGGATAAATTATCATATAATCATACATTAGAATACTAAATAGCAGTGAAAAGTAATGCATTATTACTTAAAAAATGACAATGAATGAATTATTGCATGTGTGTTGGAGGGCAGATCACCAAAGAACATGTGTTCTATGATGTTGTTCACAGAAAGTAAAAACTTGTATCAAATTATGTACAAATGCTCAGTAAGAAGAATGACAGACACAAAGTTTCTGCTAGCAGTTATCTTGGGGATGGGGAGGCAATGGAATGAATCCAGGAGAAACACAGGAGGTTTGGCTTCCCAGCATAAACACAATGACCAGTGTCAATAGTAACTCAACTTCCATGAATGGCTCAGGATGTCCAGATATGATATCAACAGTACTTTAAATGGCATATCTGAGCAACTCTATATGAACGCAGGAAAAACCAAATGCAAACTACTAGGTATACCAATATACAGGTGTTGTGAAGCCACATTTATCTCGGTAAATGAACTAACCCCAGAGTAGCGACCAAGGGCTGAAACACAAATACCCGCTTGTGTATCTTCTGACACCATTTAAAATAATCACTCCTATTTGCAAATTTAATTTCAATGACTTACCCCTTGGGGTCTAAAAGATCCCGAACTTTCTCATTATAAATTTCCATATAGGATACTTCAACCTTAAAAGTCTGTGACTCATTTTGCTCCAAAGAGATCCTTTTAAATAACGCACAGCACAGCCTTGGAATGAGGCCCAGCTGCTCAGAATGGCCCATCATGGAGAAGGACTTTCCCGAACCTGGAGAAGGACAAGCAAAGGGAAGAAGGCAATAGGGGGTGACAAGGACACATTGGCCCACAAGTTCTCGCCATATTCCAGCCACCGCTGCAGAGAGAAAAGGGATCAACCTGGTCCTCAAAAGCAGACCCTGGGTGTCACAGTTACTCTTCTTTCCATCACACCTGTACCTGAGTCTGCCTCTCACTGTGAGATCCAAAAAGCCCCCGTCAGGGGTGGATGTTACAAACACAACCACGACAAAGGCTCAGGGAGCCGGGCACAGTGCTGCACACCTGCAATCCCAGTGGCTAGGGAGGCTGAGGCAGGAGGATCACAAGTTCAAGACCAGCCTCAGCAACTTAGTGAGGCCCCAAGCAACTTAGTGAGACCCTGTCTCTAAATAAAATATAAAAAATGGCTGGGAATGTGGCTCGGGGATAAGCACCCTGGGGTTCAATCCTGGTACCAAAAAATAAAAAACAAATAAAAGTAAATTTCCACCTGTACATTAAGTAACAGGAGCAGTACTTTACTGTCATACCTACCATACATTACATCAGACATCTGCTCCCACTGGATTCTCCTAGTTATCATAAGATGTGAAGCCCCCGCTCTGATGATTTATTTATTTATTTCTATCTTATAACTGAAATCATCAGGGCTCAGAGGTCACGGCGGAGCTATGAGTATGTCTGGTTTTGTCTGTTTCGACCCCTGCTCCACCAGCCCTGGCTGCATGCTCCAGCGCCAGTTTTGTATCCTAGGAAAAGTCCTCCGTTGGAGAGGGCTCCATGGGGTTTTCTGTAGTTTTCACTAAAACATTTATATCAAGAAACTGGTCATTATTTTTCTAGTTCAAATTCAGGTTAACACTATAATTTAGGAAAATGACACTTAATGTTAACACTGAAATTACTCCATTTCCAGATCTGTGGCACCTTCAAAAAGGGGTTTCTTTGGATCATCTGATTCAGCTCAAATCCATGAAGTCAAAGCATTTTTCTGTTGCTTCTGTTAAAAACTTTTTCTCCAGTTTTTAAGTGTTAAAAAAAAAACCCACAAATTTAGGGCTGGGGGTATAGCTCCTCAGTGGTAGAACTTACATTTAGCATACATAAGGCCCTGGGTTCAATCCCCAACACCACCACCAAAAAAAAAAAAAAAAAAAAAGGGAAAAAAAACGCACATTTGATATCATTGACTAATAAGAGCAACTTCTTACCTGTCTGTCCATATGCAAAAATACAAGCATTATACCCCTGAAAGGCTTTTTCAAGAATTCCTTCCCCAAGGCACTTGAAAACCACTTCTTGTCCTAGAAAACAAGACACACAAAAATTACAACCAGAATGCTTATTTCCTGACGTATGTGTGCTAACACTCTCTTGTGCCCTCTCCCATGTTGAAAGTGTACCGAATGCCAGAGACACGTAGGGCTCAGTTTTAAGGGACCAATCGGTGCGATTTCTTCATTTCCACCTGCACGACTGGGTCTCGCTATGCTGCCTCGGCAGGTCTTGAGCTCCTGGGCTTGAGTGATCCTCTTGCCTCAGTGTCCCCAGCTGCTGGGACCACAGCCCGTGCTACTGCACCCGGCTTGCAATTTCATCTTTGCTTCTAGAGTCAGTGCCTGGATAAACTTACGACCCCATAGTTTCCCCTTTGGCATTTCTCTGGGCATTGAAATTTCTTTCCCACTGTAAGTGGGCAAGATGAGAGCACCATTCAAATTTGGTCATTTCTTCTTAGGACTTAGCATCCAAGGCATCATGAAATATGACCTGTCTGGTCTTCCTGTCTGGCTTCAGAGCTTCCGATGATGTCGTACACATTATGTGAGCCCCCACAGCACCAAGCCCTGTGCTGAAAACTGCTGCTCGCTGCCCATTGCCCATGGTGGAGCGAGTTGCTGCTGCCAGCAGGACCCCCATTCCCACAGGGGCACGAGGACAGTTCCCTCATCCAGGAGGGGCATCGTCACGCACTATACCATGGTAGAGTGAAGGTGTGACAAGCTTCTTAAACACATAGGGGAACATTTACTACCCTTCAAAATGGGCTGCTTTGGAGCATCCATTTCCCATCGTTAAGAGAATTAAAATTATTCTCTCCTTCCTCTGTGCTCCCAAGTGCTTAGAAGAGTCACTACTAGGCACCTGCAGAAACTACTGGCTTTAATCTCGGCTTCCCTCACTGGAATGAGAGTCCCTGATGGCAGAGACTATAATCTCTTTATCTTTGTAATCCTGGTTTCTAGTGCAAAATACTTAGTAAATGTTGGTTGAAGGAGTCAGTTTAATCGTTTTATCCTGCATGACATTTGGAAATCCTTTTGCGTTAGAAATGATGTAACATACCAATAAGCTTCTTTTTTTTTTAAACCAATAAGCTTTTGGTTGTATATTTTTTATTTATGCAACGCTGAACCCAATTTTAATGTTCCCTTATACATCGTGATTGCGAAACAAACTCTTTAAGTGTGTTGACATGAAACAAGAGTTAATATTTTCAATCAATCACTATGTGTGCAGAATTCCCCCCCCCCTTGGGTACTAGGGATTGAACCCAGCATGCTTAATCTCTAAGTCACAACCCCAGCCCCTGGTTTTTGGAATTTTTAATTTAGAGACAGGGTCTCGCCAAGTTGCTTAGGCTCTCACTAAGTTGCTGGGGCTGGTCTCAAACTTGTGATCCTCCTACCTGTGACTCCTGAGTCACTGGGATTACAGGCATGTACCACCAAGCCCAGTGTAGCACATCAATACATTAAGTAGTTTTAATCCTAAGAGCCTTTTTGTAAACACACAGTGGATTGTGAAGATTGCCCCCAGATATGTGAAGGTACTCACATATGCTCTAAGAATAAGGTACTATCCACATTATCGTCTACTACATATACACTTTAGAAGTTGCTTTTATGACACAAATACAAGAGTTTTGTGTTCACTGAAAAACTATCTAATCTCTATGGTACTTGATTTTTTTTTTTTTTTTTTTTGTGGTACTGGGGATTTAACCCAAAAGTGCTCTACTACTTTTACATCCCAAATCCTTTACTTTTTATTTTAAGGCAAGGTCTTGCTAACTTGCTGAAGCTGGCCTCAAAACTGTGATCCTCCTGTGCAAGCCTCCCGAGTCATTGGGATTACAGGTGTGTGCCACCACAATTGGCTGGTGCATGATCTTTCATACACCTCAGTATTTCTTCTTCTGTTTTCTCAAAGGACCTTTCCTAGTCAACATGTATTCCCAAGTCCTGTGCCAAAGGCAAGTTTTACATTGGGAATGAGCCATGTTTCAGAGATGATCCAGAATCAAACTCAGCCTGTTCCTGGGCTCCTTAGAATTGCTTGTGGTCCTCAGCCAGTGCGAGGTACCACTCTAACATGTTCCAAAGGCCAGGCTTTGCTGGCACAAGTGGCTGAGTAGAGCAATCCTGTTTGATCCGGCATGCTGGTCAACCAGTCCCCAGGAAAGAGGGAGGTCAGGGTGGATAAAGCTAGGTCAAGCATCCTGACCATAGTTCATGAGTTCAGTTCTGTGCAGCTTGTGAACAAGCAAGAGCGCAGAGAAGCACTGGGGTCGAGATTTTATCACGGCTTCATAGAGCCTGTGGTTGTTAACCCATCAGACTTCCACCTATCTGTTTCCTATCAGGCAGGAAATGCAGTCACTAACCAATCAAAGAATTTCTATCTGTTCCCACAGCAGATTGGAAATGTGACACTACTGACTTCAGCTCCTGATGCTACAAGTAGATTCGAATTAGGAGGGATTATTTTCTCCAAGTTGTTTCAGAAGTAAATCATAATATGTCTTTTTCCTTGTCAGGAAATGACCCTTTAAAATAATTTTCCAATTATTAGTTGGAAAGAGCAAGAAAGTCACATAAACCAGGATGTGTATGTTAAGACTGCATGAAAAAAAAATGATCAAAGAATTCCCCAGCACACATAAAAATGAGAGAATAAATTTCAGTTTAGTCTATGTCCAAATTAATTCAAACACTAAGAAGAACATGAACTGACCTATTTAACCTGGATTTATGATACTAAGGAGCAGAAAGAGAGTTAACTTTTATCCACTGGACACTGGTAATGCACTTTTCATATTTTATATCATCGAACCCTCAGAATACCAGGAAGGGCAGGTATAAATTATGGTCAGTAAGGTGACTGGGGCTTTAAAAGGTTAAGTCACTTGCCCAAGGTCTCTTGCTAGTGAGTGGCGAGCCTGGCTGGCCTGTCTGATGCCGCCATCAGCAGTAATGCTGTGGGACACTGGGCACAGTGACTCCCATCCTGACCCCTAGGTACTTTCTACAGACGCCCAGAACTTACCCCCCTGCACCATGTGCATGTGTGTATGTGTGTCAGTGTGTGTGTATGTGTGTGTGCACGCATGCGCACCTCGACAACTGGGCTGTGAGCTCCTGCACCCGGGGCTGTTGAGCCTTCCCAGAGTGCGTGGTCTACACCAGGAGTTGATATTTTCTGGATTATCCTTGTATTGACAATACTGTTCTCAGACTAATGTATTTTTAATGGAGGGCCCCTTTTCTCATTACTGATGATTAAGTCATCAAAAGACTGCTCTTTGAATTTAAAGAGGAATGCTTAGTCATAGTACTTCATACTTTGGTCAAAGCATGAACTTCTAGTGACCCCCGAAAGACCAGAGCAGGCCTTTGTCAAGAAGCCAGTGGGGTGTGGGCAGAGGGGCCAACCTAATATGCCAGGCTACTTGGGCAATCTTGATAAAAAAAATTATAAATCACTCTTCCTGATACCCACAGTCACCTCTTAGGCATTAAAACAATAACTATATATGACAAATAAATGACTACCACTAAATACACACACACACACACACTCTCTCTCTCTCTCTCTCTCTCTCTCTCTCTATTTCAGAAAATAGACATTCTTTTAGTATAATCATGTTTGACTGAATATAATTCAGACTTATTATATTTAATAAACTTTTATTTATAACTGATAAAGGAAAAATTTTGAAAAAAATGGTATTTTTTAAAAAGAAAGAAAAGGGGCTGGGTTTGAGGCTCAGTGGTAGAGCGCTTGCTTCCCACATGTGAGGCCCTGGGTTTGAGCCTCGGCACCACATAAAAATAAATGAACAAAATAAAGGTAGTGAGTCCATCTACAACTAAATATATATAAAGGAAATAATGGATGGATGGAGGGAGGGAGAGAGGGAGGGAGGGAGAAAATTAGCCTGGTACGGTGGTGGACTCCTATAATCCCAGTGATTTGGGAGGCCGGGGCAGGAGAATTGCAAGTTCAAGGGCAGCCTGGGAAAATTAGTAAGACTCTGTTTCAAAATAAAAGAATAAAAGGGCTGGGGGTGCAACTCAATGGTAAAAGTGTCCCAGGTTTTAATCAATTAAGGGAGGGAGGGAAAGACATAGTTGAAGTTCCATAAGGCACAACTTATAAAAAGATAAAATGTAAAAAACTATTGTGAAGTTCATGTAATTTTACAAACCTACGCAAGACAGAGTGGAGAAGGACTGGAATATACTCTATTATGTGCTCAAGGAGATTTTCTCTCCTAGACAAGACATGATCAGCACTTTCCCTCCTCATCCGTCAGCATTTTAAACAGCTGACCAGCTTTCCATTCTGAGTAACTGATACAGCCAGCTCCCTGCTGTACATTACTTCCTTTTAATTTTCTGAAATATCTATCCATACCTGTTCGTCCCTGTGCACGTCCCTATGGGCTGCATCCTGCAGGACCCGATACACCAAGTGGCTGGGCTCACAGGCCGTGCACCAGCGCCTGTCCCAACAGCCGCTCGGCACTGCTGTTAGCACTCTTGGTTTTGACCAAGTCAAGAACGAAAAAAGTCTCTTGTTTCATTAAATTAATTTTCCTTTATTGGTTATTGCTCATCTGTATTTAACCTTTAGTAAATGGGCTACCTGAACCCCATTTTTTAAAATTAATTGGGTGGTGCAGACACTGCTTTTCTTATTTTAAAACATTAGTCATATATTAATGAGATGAACCTTTGGTCTGTCACCCCTATAGTTAATCCCCCCCCCCCACACACACACACACTGTCATTTGCCTTTCAAGTCTTGCTTCACTCTTTGTCATAGAAAAGCGTCTGGCCTTTCATGAAAACTTTTCCCTTTTCCTTTATGATTTTTGCTCCTGGTTCATGTTAGGCTTCCAAATGCTTTTCTAAGCCCAAATTATGCAGAAGATTCACCTACATGTTCTTCTAGTTTTGTTGTTTCGAGGTTTTAAAAATTTCAATCCTAAGCTCTTCCTCTTCCCAGTCAAGTCCCC